TTTATTATTAAAAGAGTATAAGTGGTTTTATAAGCTTTAAAGATGAGCAAGAAGTTTTATTTTAATTTGGTTTTATTATGATAATATTAAAGTAATCACTTAGGCTCTTGGCACTTTATTAGTACAATTGGTTAGGCTATTGTCAAAAAGACTAGCTATATATATTATACAGTCAACTATCTATATAACAGACACCTATAATAAAAATCACCTATATTACAGACTTAAAATTTTAAAATTTATTATAAATCTGTTATATAAATATTAGTAAAAAGCTATATAAAGGATTTTACAAAAAAATTAATTATAAACCCCAAAAATCCATTATATAGATAGTTGACTATATCTGTATTACAAAAATACAATTAGTTATACATACAACTTTTGATTGTTTAATTTAAGTAGTTTACCCAGAGTATTAGTACTGTGCTAAAGGTTCTATACTAAATACTATACTTATAGCCTAATTAGAAAGCTATCTATTTTAAACTTTCTAGCTTTACTGATGTTATATACTTCCTTCTAATATACCCGAATAGTTACTTGAAGCTACACAACAAGAGCTACTAAAAAGAAAAATCTATAAAGAGTTAGATGTAAATATAGAGACTAGACAGAGAATCAACTTAAAACTATATAAAGTAGTTAATTTAATTAGTGAAATAAAGTTAGAAGAGAAAGAGAAAGAAGAAACCCAAGTATTTATAGTAAATTCTCCCTTAATATTACGCAGTTGGTGTCACATTTTTTTGGCAGGATGTTTTATATTAAAAAAATTAGTGACATCTTAGGCCGCCACCTTCTTACCCACCTATCCACCCTTTAAAAATTCTTCAAAAATCTTCACCATCACCTCCCCACCCACTCGCTCTTGAAAACTCAGGGCATTTCGTGAGACCTCAATTGAATTGAAGATTTAAAACTTCGATCAAATAGTGAGGTCATATGACTTTGCTCTTTCATATTCTTGCAAAATTGGCAAAATTCAAACTCCACCTAATCAGAGTTTGAAATTTTGTTAAGTAGTGAAATCACGTGTCTTTCTTGCTTTTGAAGTCTTATGAAATTGGGATAGTGACACAAAATCGAGGTCACGTGATTTGTGTATATAGATGATTGAAAAAAATTAAAAAAATAAATTAAATAAAAAAATGTTAAATTAAAAAAAAAATAGATTAAATTAAAAATAAGATAAAAAAAGTATTAAATTAAATAAAAAAAAACATTAAGAAAAAAGTTAAATTAAATTAAAGAGAAAAAAAAGCTAAATTAAAAAAAAACCATTTTAAAGTAAAAAAAAAATTAAATTAAAAAAAAAATACTAAATTAAAGTAAAAAATAGGTTAATTAAAGAAAAAAACCGTTAAAAAAAGGTAAATTAATAAGAAAAAAACACTAAATTAAAGTAGAAAAAAAAGTTAAAAAAAAAATAAATTATTAAAGAAAAAAATGTTAAATTTAATAAAAAATAAACTACTAACTTAAATAAAAAATGTTAAATTAAAAAAAAGTGTAAATTAAAATTAAAAAAAATATATTAAATTAAAGAAAAAAAATTAACCGTTAAATTTAAAAAAAAAAACACTAAATTAAAGTTAAAAAAAGTCAAATTAAAGAAAAAATATTAAATTAAAAAAAAACTACTAAATTAAAGAAAAAACTCTTAAATTAAAAAAACCCTAAAATTAAAGAAAAAAAAATGCTAGATTAGTTAACTTGAAAAAAATATTAGATTAAAAAAAGTTAAATTAAAATTTTTAAAAAAATTAAAAAAAAACTACAATTTAAATAAATCCACCCGTTTACAATGTTTGTTGTCCATGAATTCTATTATAAATAAAACAAATTCGGGTTTGCTAAACCTAAATCGGGTTCGTTTGAACCCAATTCGGGTTCTTTTGAACCTGATTCGGGTTTATTAGAACCCAAGACAGGTTCTTTTGAACCCAATAACAAGTTTATTTGAACCAATGATGGCTTCATTTGAACCAATGACAGGTTTATTTAAACCCAAAATGGGTTTATTTGAACCCAAGGCAGGTTCATTTAAATCTAGACTAAGTTATTTAAACCCCAATAAAGAAAATTAAAAACCTTATATCTGGGGCAATTCCCGGGCCCTAAGAGCTGATATAATCTAGGCCTAAGAATTAGAAAAAAGTTAAAACCTCAGACCTAGGGCAACACTCGGGCTCTGAGAGGTAATGTAATTTAGGCCTAAAAATTAAAAAAATTAGAACCTCATACCCGGGGCAATGCCCGGGCCTAAGAGCTAGTACTACTTACAAACCTATATTACCCATTCTCAAAATGGCTACACTCCAAATAGTAGTAATGAAGAAAAATCATTCAATAGAAATATAGACCAACCAAATGGTGATAGATCTGAATTCATACTTGTTGGTTTTTGAGCTTATGAGCTCAAGACATTACAGAAGACTAGTGTTTACTGAAGCTTGCATGAATAATAGGCATGAATGCTTTTTATATATGCATCCAACTCTAGGTACATATTATGCTACCCAACTGCTAAACTTCAGACAAGCTGTATACTAAAGCTTGCATGAATAACAGGCATGAATGCTTTTTATATATGCATCCAACTCTAGATACATATTATGCTACCCAACAGCTAAACTTCAAACAAGCTATATACTATTTAGAATTTTTCACATTTTTACTTATTACTAATAATTTTGTGAACCTAATTACTCTGCAACAATAGGTTGCAGAAGGAGCTCAAGAAGCTGAGTTGGATATAGATAAGATCCAACATAGCAGTCTAAATGCTGAAATAATCAAAAATCTAATTACTAGTATTATAGATTAATAAAAAAAAAATAGATAAAGATATATAGACAATAATAGATAAAATATATAAATATATATAAAATATATAAATATATATAAATAAATATATATATATATAAATATCAATTGTTAAAGTCGTCACAACTCTTCCTAACGATCACTTGGACCAAATTTTCTGATGAAAAGAAAAGCCTATTTTCGATACTGGAGAGTAGTAACATGTAGTAAGGTGAATTAACAGGGCAGTTTTTATAAAGGTTAACCTTTCTCTATTCTGGGAGACTCTTTTATATACTGTATTTGACATGCAAGCCAAAAGCATCTGTATACAAGATAACTAGCAAAAGATAGTGCCCTCGTATACGAAATTTTGGTGGTTAGGTGGAGATGATAGAAGTCCAAGCCTTCTGTTGACAAAGCTATCGGTTGTGAAACAACTGGGAAACAGTAAAGAACAGGCTTCTTTTAAGCCACACTTCTTTTTTCTGGTCAAGTGATATCTACTATTTTTTTTTCACTTCTCTGCCTTTTTTTCAAAATTTTTCAACAAAAAGTGGAGATTTGGCTTACTCCTCCAAAAGATCAGCATTGTTTACTTCCCAAATTTGGACAGACTAGTAAATTGCAACCACGTGTTTGTTTATGGATAGATATGGTGCTACTGCATGAGACTCGACCTGAAAACTCTAATTACAGCAGGAGGGTGCCTTGATATAGGTCCTCGAACAATAGAGCCATCCAAATTTGGTAGGAAGGTCAGAAAGTAAATTTTAATATTAAGGTAGAGCTTTACCTTTACAAAAAAGATATACAAATGTTGCATTTGTTATATAATTTTTATCAACCCTGTATGGGTTATAATAGTGCCTTTAGAGTTTTAGTTTTCTTTTTATGTTTTTTCTTTTTCGAAATCTGTGTTTATTTTTTCTTTTTGTTTGTTTTTCTTTTTTGGTCATTTTTGTATTTGTTTTTTGGTTTAAACTTTTCTCCCTTTTGTCTCGTGTTTCTTGAGAAGAAGGAAGAATTAGAAAGGAAAAGAGGTTCTGAGGTGGGAGCTGAGCTGCGGCTATATTATATCTTTAAATACGCCATGTCGTATGTGGGGTATAATGGCCAACATCAGTGCGATAATCAAGGTTGGGCATCTTTAAGAGACAGCTGGCTTTTAGTCTAATTCCCTATTAAGTAGCTTGGTCTTGTATTAAGCATTATACATTTAATAAATTTTAGTACATGGTTATCAAAGGAAAAAAAAAAAAAAAGTAATTATTTTATTAATAAAAGATTACTACATATCACCAATAGTGATTATCACTAGTTTTAAGATTTGTTAGAATTAGAGTTAGAAATTAGAGAATTATTTTGTCTTATATAATATAATACAGAGCTAATTTTGTGAGGTTTTCAAGAGTTCTGAATATTTTTACTTAGAGTACTGATCTTATTTATTTAGGAGGCTAACAAATATTAGCTCATTATACTCTCCTGGGATTTTTACTTAATTCTACCCAGAGTCAGTCATTTGATATAATAAAATTTACAAAAAATGTATAATTAGATTTTGATAGTTGATAATATAAACTATCAAAAACCTAATTATATATTTTTTGTAAGTTTTACTGTATCAAATAACTAACTCTAGATAGAATTAAGTAAAAATCTCAGAGAAGTATAATGAGCTAATATTTGTCAGTCCTCTTAGTATGTTTTTGAAATATAGCAACACTAGTAATGATCACTAGTTGTAATAAATAGCAAAATTCTTATTACTATATATATTAATATCCTGTACTGATTTTTTTACAACTACTAAACTAAATTAGTTAAAATTTTACTAAAGATAGATATAATATTGGACTACAACATATTAAAATTTAGATTAGTAGTTCTTGAGAAATTAATTACTAATTTTTTTTTAAAAAAATTATTTATAGTTTTTAAATAATTTTTTAAAAGTTACTAATTAAAATTGGCTAAAATTTTAATATATTGTAGCCCAATATTATATCTATATTTAATAAAAATTTAGCTAATTTAGTTTGGTAGTAATTAAGAAAATTAAAACCAAAAATTATGCAAATTTAAATATTAAAATAAATAATACAAAATAAATTAAAAAGAATATTATTAAATATTACAAATTGTTGGCAACTTGTCTGTATAAAGGAATAAAAAAGCTAAATAAAGCAATGTCGCCTATGGTTAGAGTAGAAAGGCCTTGGAGTGTGACAGAACTTATATATTGTATCAATAGTAATATAAAGAAAGCGATCAAAGCTGATCAATTTGAAAATTGATAAAATAGACAGAAAGAGTATATTGTCCAAGAAGTTAGTAGATAATGGCAAAGATGATAAAGACAAGAAAAACGTTACAAAAAGCAAGAGGCATCGAAAATTTAATAGCAAAGTGTAAGAGAATCAATAAGCATATAGAAAGAAGATATACAAATTTTAAAGAGAACACTAAGAGTATGGTAAATAGTATTTTAAAAAAAAGGCATATAAGAGTAATCTTTGCAAAGATAACAATATTAGTAGAACTTATAACAGATGAGCAGAGTATAAAAAGTATGGCTATACAGTATTTTAAAGACTGGACAAGGTCAAACCCAATAAATAGAATAGGTGAAAAGAATAAGAAGGAATGTATAAGTCTAAGAGAAGCAGTAATAAAAAAGCTTTCAGTAAGATAGATGAACTAATATCACCAGAAGAGTTCAAAGAGGCAATCAGACTATCCCCAATAGGCAAAGCTACAGGTTCATCTATGCTGGCAAATAAGATTCTAAAAAAATTGTCAGAAGTAGCAAATGCAAACTTGTTGAAAATTTACAATACAGTATTAAGATTATAAGAAGTACCAAAAGAATGGAAAAAAGGCTTGATCTGGCCAATAGCGAAATTAGAATATCGTGAGGCTAATTGAACATTATAGAAAGGTCTTTACAAAGATAATAGCAAACAGAATAAGCAAGGTTTTGGTAGAATATAATTATATTTTGTCAAGTGCTAACAATATAGCAATATTTTTTGCCCAGATGCTTTTCTTGATCCAACAATTAACATATATCTAAGAAGACACTAGGCTAATGAACAATAAGTTATGAATACTAGCACAAAATATGTCAAAAGTGTATAATTGTGTATATACTATTATTAGAAAAAGCTCTAAACAGGATCAACATGAATAAGAACATCACAACTTTGATAATTAATCTGTTTAGTGGAAGAGAAAATCAAGTAATAACTAATATCGGGAAAACAAGATCATACAAGATAAAGAATAGTCTAGACCAAGGTAGTACCTTTTCACTACTCCTATGAACAATTTGTTGATTAAAAAAATACAAGATTCAAAGCTAGAATATGTATCTAAAGTTTTCTTACTAAAGACTAATATTAAACAACAAACTGAGACATCTATATTTATATACATAGATGATACTATATGGGTTGTACCAAATAGAAAAAATCTAGAAAAAATATTAGAAATTGTCTTATCCTTTTATAACCTAGCGCAAACTAAACTTGGTACTTGCTTCCAAATTTGGTCTTTTTGTAGTACCATTGAAGATCTTCACTACTTCCTATTTGGGATTTGCCAAGCTAGCTTTAGATCTTCTCATTTTTTAGTATTACCAATATATAAGGTCTTATTATGGGTTTGTACTATCTATACAAGTTTGCATTTTTTTGTACAACCCAGATATTGCACAAATGCCTCATGTGACAACTTTTTAGTACAGGGCACTGGTGTAATCTAAGATTACAGGTTATTATAACAAGTTATAGTTCTAACTAAGCCCCAACTTAATGAAGATCTATCACTATAACACAAATAATTTATTTGAAATGTTACCGTAGGTTTCCGAAAATAAGCTACCCTTTTTTGGCCAAAAAGTTACACAAAAATTATGGGGTAGCTTATTTTTGAATATAATTGATTTTTGATCATTTTTGGCAATTTTTATTAAGTGCAAGTAGTTGCTATATATAAAAGTCAAAATCTACTAAGTAAATCTACAAAAGTCACTTAATAGCGATTGTTCAGGAGGTAAAAATACACATATCCTGAAAGTTTCATACAAGTTAGAAGACTTTTACTAAGATATTTTTGCATTTTACGTTTTTAACGTATAATGTAAAAACACCTTAGTAAAAAGTTCTCCGATTTGTATGAAACTTTCAGAATATGTGTATTTTTACCTCCTGAACAATCGCTATTAAGCGACTTTTGTAGATTTACTTAGTAGAATTTTGACTTTTATATATAGCAACTATTTAAGAAAATAGAAAAATTGCAGGGGTAGCTTATTTTCAGAGGAAAGACGTTTTTAAAATTTTTTTTCGAGAAAGGTGGGTAGCTTATTTTTGGAGGTAGCTTATTTTTGGAACTATATGGTACTAGTGGGATTCGAACTTAATACTATAGTCAAGCTAGCTTGGGGGTGTGACAAGATCCTGAAGAACTTTGATACAACTTAGATCTAAGTTTGTATAAAGTTTGTATAAATTTAGCCAAATAGATATAAAAATTTACTATATAAAAAAGCAATGTTTGATGATTTTCTATGCAAAATTTTTTTTTTTGGTAATATATGAGTTGTATCAGAGTTCTTTGGAGTCCTGGTGTGACAACTCTACTACTTCACTAAGTTGGCACACTCTAAAAGATATAATTATAAAGATATTAAACTATATATATATATATATTTTTTAAAGAAGACCTCTTTGGCCTAAAAATATTTTATTAAATAATAAAAATATTATAATTATAATAAAAGTACAACTATACAAAAAAACAACTCTTTTCAATGATCACTTATATCAAAATTTTTCACCAAACAGAAGCAAAAAATTTTGTTAGAAAAGGAAAAAGAACTATGTGGCAGTTCTTGTAAATGTTAACCTTTCTCTTTGGAAGACTTTTTTGCATATTTGGTATGCAAACCAAAAGCATTAGTACCAAGATAATAGGTCAACAAATACTCTTGTATGCAAAATTTTGGGGATAGTGGTGCTCTGACAAAAGTAAGGCATATCATTTACGAAGTCAAGTATAGATAACATAATAGAAGGGGAACAACAAATGAGCTTTTTATGCCACTCTTTTAAAAATCTTAAAAGTACTTGCAACCATATACCTTCACTATATTTTTGCAAGTTTGGAATTTTTTAGAAATTTTAGCCAAAATGTGAAAAAAACTAGTGTACTTCCTTCAAAAGATCAGCAGTATTTACTCCTTCCAAATTAGGACACATCTACTGAAATAGAATCTGCCACAAGCTGACTTAGGTACTGCTTCTCGATTAAGTGATGACAAACTAAAAGAGATCAGAGGATTATATATAGAAATTTCTAGATATTAGACAATTTTTTTTTTTTCTTTTCTTCTTATTATATATAGTGTTAGAGTAGAATTTTTCTTTCTATACAACCTATATAATTTATATAGTCTGGCATAGGCAAAAATAGTGTTGTCATAGCTGTCTTCTTTGTAGTCTTTTTCTCCTTTTCTTTATTTTTCTTTGGTGTATTATTATTTTTTTATTTAGTTTAGATTTTTTCTCTTTTTAGTTTTCTCTTTAATTTTGTAAATTTTTTATTGTTCTTGCAATAGAGTTTTTCTACCTAGGAGACTAGGAGAAGAAGGTTGGGAAAGAAGGTAGTCATGACAGGCCAGTAAACCAGAACAGTGATCTGAGGCAGGCCTTTCTGAGGTAGATTAACCCAAACTAGAGAGCTCAAACTCATCTCTGGCAGGTTGCACATAGGTGCTGAGTTAGTATTTAGTTATGCAAAGTAACTAAGTGAGCTATATTCCAGTTTTTTTGTCTTAAAGCATAGTATAACTCACTAATTTTAGAATTAGTAAACTTTATTAATAAAGCAAGGCATGTAATATGGCTGTTAAAAATAAATATATATATATATATAAACTATATAAATAAATAATATTTTTATATATTGTATAGTATAAAACCTATTCTTTTTTTGCTTCTTTGCCTTTTTTCCAAAATTTTTTGATAAAAAGTGGAGATTTGGCTTACCCCTCCAAATGATTGGTATTGTTTACTTTTTAAATTCAGATGAACTAATAGATTGCAACTACATGTTTGTTTATAGACAGATATGATACTACTTTATATAACATAGTTTGAAAACTCTAATTGTGGCAGAAAGTAGCTTGTAATACGAGTTCTTGGACAACAGAGCTATCTGAATTCAGTGAGAAAGTCAGAAAGTAAACTTTAATATTAAAGCAAAGCTTTATAAGAGAGATATACAAATTTTGCATTTGTTATATAATTTTTATCAACCATGTATGAGTTATAATAGTGCCTTTAAAGTCTTGGATTTCTTTTTATATTTTTTCTTTTTTAGAATCTGGTTCTTTTTTCTTTTCTTTGTTTGTTTTTTTTTTTTAATCATTTTTATAATTTCTTGGTTTAAACTTTTCTCTCTTTTGTCTTATGCTCCTTAAGAAGAAAAAAGAATTAGAAGGAAAAGGAGATCCTGAAGTAGGAGCTAAGCTCAGGCTAGACTATATTTTTAAATATGCTACACTATATATAAGATATAGTAGCCAACATCAGTATGATAACCAAGGTTAGATATCTTTAACAGACAGCTAGCTTTTTGTCTAATTATCTTGTTAAATAGCTTAGTTTTGTATTAAGCATTATATATTTAATAAAATTTTAGTATGTGGTTATCAAAAGAAAAAAATACATATATATAGTATAAAAACTAAATAAGCTTTAATGAGCCAATGAGAATTTTAAACAAGTCTATTTGAGCTGCTTATTGAAGAACACTATTTTTTATATTGTACTTTTATTATATAAAACAAAGCAATTTTAAATTTGCTTTTTATATTATTAAAAAAAGATCTACTATTATATAAATTTTTGTAGTTAACAAATTTTATTAAAATAAAATATACTATTTGATTTTTTAAAAATCAAATTTATTTTTATAAATAAGTTTGTATAGTTTTATTTTTAATATTTAAATAAAGAAACTAATATTTATTATATAAATAACCTCTTTTCAAAGTTAATTATTTGGTAATTATAAAATTTAATATAATTATTTTATTAATTATGTTTTTTAATTATATTAGAAATTGTAATTATTAAATAATAACTATAAAAAAAAACTATTTATATAATAAATATTAGTTTTTAAATTTTTTTTTTATTAATAGTTAGTATTGTAAAATTGACTATTCAACTTTTTTCAACAATCACCTAGACCAAAATTTTTTATTAAAGAAATACTATAATTTTTGTTGGAAAGTTGCTACATAGTAGTTTGTCTAAAAGAACAGCATTATTATATAAGATAACTAGCAAGAGAAGCCCTTATATAAAAATCTTGGTAGAGAGAGAAATTCTTATAGTAGGGTTCTACTTTGTTGATGAAGCCATTAGGCTGTTACTTTAAAAAAGAATACTGGAAAAACAACAGAAGTTCTGGTTTTTTAATATACTTTTTTAAAAACTTTAAAGTACTTACAACCTTTTTCTTATTTCTGCTTCCTTTTTAGTTATTCAAAATTTTTTAAAAAAAGTGATTTGGTTTATCCTCTCCAAAAGAACAGCATTGTTTACTTTTTTAATTTGAATATATTTAGTAGAATGCAACCTCATGATATATCTATTTATAGTTATCTCTTAAACCATCTAGCAGGCAAATATGCCTGCTAGAATGTATTTTTTTCATATTTTTTACAATAACTTGAAATTTTATTAAGCATATGTCTCCCTATTTCTAAGCTAAAATAAAATTTTGAGATATTTTTAATCATTATTAAGTAAAATTTTTAATTTAACTTTAATAGTATTAAA